GTCAGACAATGTAGGTAGTGTGGTGAATGGGAGCGATAGTGTACACTGAGTTCATTCTTTACTATCCGACATCCACTCCTTTTTCGGTGATCGATAAGGATTTTGCCTAAGTAACGTTGCTTCCTATCCCCACCGTTGCAGCACTACAGTCTCCTTTCAATTATCAGACTGTTCGTGGTTGGTGTTTCTCTCTTTCGCGAGCGCGCGCGCGCGTTTGTGACTCTTTTTTTCATTCTCTGCAGTCACACACACTTGTTCACGAGGCACAAGACGAAAGCTAGATCATTTTGAATTGCTCAACCGTATGCCCTTTCCGTCACCATTTTGTCGCTGTCCCTCTCACGCTCTTTTGTCATATTTACGCATAACTTCAACTATAAGGTTGACGGATATAAAATCGATCATTCAACAAATACCGAAACTCATTCAACAGTAATGCCGAGCTCACATAATTTTTTAGTTTGACTCATTTTAGGGGATAGGACTGTTTGGCCTGATTGGGTGTGTTTACAGGTCTGGAAACTTGCGAAAAAAAATTGCATTTCAACTGGTGAAGCCCGTTTACATCGCAAAATTGTTATTTGGGAACCTTTTCCTCACAATTCAATCATTGATTAGTGTTTATGCAACCCACTGGCATATATTTTGAGGTTTCGTTTCCCACTGAACTGTAGTTCCTTTCGTAGTGCTCTTCTCACCGTTCTTTTGATGTGACGTTTTCAACCAGCTAATCAGTGACGTAGAGCGCAATTATTTCGTGTGATTGTAATAAACCTCTCGAACTACCGTTGGAAACACTGTCGGTCATCAGTTGCGCGACCTGAGTTGTGTTTGAACCGCATATATGTTGTCCGATATTTTCTTATGTTCATTTATCACAATCACCTGTTAGCAATCGATGGTTCACTTCCGTGAGCCTCAAATCGGACTAAATCAATAATTTTTGGCACTGGAGAATTGTATCTAGTATGGTGCTCCGTTCCGGTCGCAAATGCTGTAATTGGGATGTTTTAGACGAAACTGACTAGGACTTACGACTACGGAAATTCAAGAGTTAGAAAAAGACATTCCTAGTTATTCAAATTTTGTTTAGTCACGTGCACGAAAGTAGAATAGAGAATTGCGAGGCCTACCTTCAGAACACTTAACCGGTCAAGTGTGAATGGAGTCCGTATATATATATATATATATATATATATATATATATATATATGAAAGGTATTAGGTATTCTCTGATTTCTTGACTTACGGTGGGTCATCTCTGCTGATATCGAGTATAATGACCAGCACGCTTCTTCGAACTCACAAAGAGCTTAGGTGAGGACTGGGAAGCCTGCTTGATGCTATTTGCAAATGAGACGGAATCTGCTGCCTATGCTCCGTGCTTCTACTCCCCCCCCTCCCAAAACGGCGTCAGTAAAACATTTTACGAAGAACACGGCAAGCCAGTGTACCAATTCTTGAAACTCTGTGCAGAACACTACATGTCACAGTCAGTCGTCAACTTACTCTCTCTGATAGCGAATGTCATTTGTAAAAAAAAACATGCTCGTGTCTTCTGGTTACTTGCGATGATACTTCTATCCACATTCCCTCCGTTTTTCTCAGATGTGTGTCGAGTTGCACGGTGATTCAACGGAGATGTCTCGATCGCGAACTCTTTCCACCGTCAGTCGGCGCGGTTCTTCGTTTGTCTACGGTGAGTCCCTTGGTCGTTTTCTCTCCGTTCCGCGTTATTTTCAGCCGTGCTATCATTCTATTTTTTATCGTAATTCTTTCATGTATAAGTGAATATCTTTGGGTGAGTAATATATGCACTTCCTGGGCACAAGTATATGAATGAAGTGGCAGAAGTTTACCGAGAAAGCATGCTTGACGAGCGCCGAGAACCGCTAAACTGGTCGTTTGCTCCTAGGGGAATTTCGCCTAGTCATGCTTATATTGCTGTTTGTGCTATCATATATATATNATATTCGCTCCGTTCCCATCTCGAATCGCCTCCCAACCGGTGGTGTAATTAGCTTCCCACTATTAACAAATCCTTTTTTGGTCTATAAAAACAGGATAGTGCATCGTTGAAAACAGCTGTTTACCTACGGGCTTGTGTCCTAATGTTTATTACACGGGGTTTATTCTTGGATTTAATGCATCGCGTGTCATTGTCTTTTTCGTCCGGGTAACACGAATAAAACGGGAAATTGTAACTGATTATCGTCATATTCCAGTCTTTATGCACTACTGTCCTTTCACTAACCCGTGTATCCTGTCTGTACATCTATCTGAATGATTCATAATTCGCTTCACACCATAAATTGAATAGAAGCTTGAGTTGTGTTTGTGTATGTGTGGCTGTAGTATAAACGCAAGCAACAACATTCAACTAATTTGAAATATACCGATATGCATGTTGTTCTTTTCGTCATACACTAAGTGTTATCAATTTACGAGCGGTTTGATAGAATTTCAAGTTAATGAGTAAAATTATGCACACAGAGTCGTGCCACTAGTGAAATACAACCTGGCATTCTATCCCGAGAGGTGTGAATAATTGTTACAATTACTCAGTAACAACTCTCACTCTGATCAGCTTCCCCGAATAATTATTTCCGGCGTTCCTTATGGAATTTTAGTATGCTACCAGTTCTTAGTTATGAGCAATCAAGCCATCTGCGATTACCATTTTAATTCTATTCTACTATATTCGAGCACAATTTCTGTTGTTTCCGATTGCAGTTGTTAAAAATTAATGCATCATGGACGTGCTAATTTTCTGAATCGATTTGTACTGCTGTATAAATGGATTAAGTATATTTGGGTACATGGTCCTAAGCAATCCAGTACGTACGCAATTGTCATTGCATTCTCTTACCGCTTGAGCTCATTCGCTAAATGAAATGAAAATGTATTTTTGCTTCTTTTATTTATTGAATATACAAGTGTACAGTCAACATTCAGGTAGTGGAGCCGCAGCCATAGAAAGGCTGCCTGGGAAGATGGGCGGCGGTGAAGTGGTTCGAACTCGGGACTCACAGGTGACAAGTTGGTGGCATAACCACTTGGCCACATATTAACTTTGTCATCGAGTGACGAGCCGGAGCTACATTTTCGCTTTGTTTTTCTTCTGGCAACCTGGAGTTAATTTTCGGGTCAACACTCGTTGAGGGTTTTCTAGGGCAGTTCTTCAAGAGAAAATGCACGGCTTTGTTGTCATCTAGATCAGTACTCCTCTTATGTTTTCGGATTTTGATACGAAACGCTCATCTTAGAACCAGAACGGAATTGCAGATCTTCAAGTCTACGAGATCACTCCGTCCACCGTTCATCACACAAACCTGGCTTTTGCATCAATCGTTCGTATATTATCGGCGGAAAACCGAGCAGTGCTGGTATTAATGCTTCTCATAATTCTAATGAGCACTGAAGTTCACAAATCCTTAGTTACGTATGGAGTACTACGCGCTACTAGGCGTCGAAACGTTGTTCTAAGTGTGGTCCCTGTTAGATGTTCCCGGATAAAATTGTATCATCGTTCATGAAGTTTGATGCTGAGAATACTTAAGCTTTTGGTTCTTCGCGGTGGAACTTCTGTTCATTGCATCTCCGTGTGATTACTTTTGTTTCGGCGATGTCGAACTAATTCACTATAAAAGTTCGTATCCTCCTCCCTTGAGAAATGCGCATTTACGGAACGGTTGATTTTGACCCTCGCATTCAGTGAGATTTTTTCAGGTCGGACTCGAAGTCACCTTCAATTGAATTTCTTCATTCGTGACAGCGTTTTGTACTCCATCCACTCAGTGACAGCACTGAAACGGGGTCGATACTAAGGTTCGTTCAAAAAGGAAGAATATTATTTAACCACTGGTTGTGTTCTTGTCAAGTGTCGTTCAGTCTATGTTGCGCACTTAGCACTTGTAAACTTTCTCTTGTACTCGCCGTCGCGTTTTCACTCAATTCATTTTCCTGGATATCTCTTACGAACCATTGGACCCTGCTAAACTCCTTCGCGTTCTCTCATTTGAAGGCACGGCCGATGTTCTGGGCATTAATTCATCTGCGTTACATGGCTATCACATGTTGTCTGAGTATATTGTCGCACGACATCCGCTGGCCGGGACGGAAACTGAATTCTGGAAGATGGTGTGGGACGAGAATTCCTCCATCATTGTTTGTTTATCCGGTCCAGATTTACCTCCATTCTGGCCGAATAAACCGAGTGAGGTGCGTTATTTCCATCATTCGTCTTCTACTACACTTTGATGTTGTTTCTACGATAAAAATCGTATTTGGCTTGATAACTTGTAAAATGTATCAAAGCAACAAGTTCATCCACTTAAAACCAAGGATTTAATCATTAATACGGCCCTCAGGTTTTTGTTTGTATGGTTCTTAGCCTCCAAAAAGTCGTTTTCTCTTTCAGCTTTTGCTCACGCACTAGCTGTTTTTAATTGGTGCCGCAGATCCCGAGCCACGCAATATTCGGTCTTTTAACACCTTTAAATAATGCAACACTTCAGGTAACAAGCAGTTCAGTCGCAATCTGTGTCCGTGGATGGTTGCATTTCAAACGGAAAACTGACAGTTCCTTTGTCACGCTCATATTCACAGTGGCAAACTTTGGTAACTACTGGCTAGAAAGCAGTACATGTGAGAACAGAGAATCAAGTAACTAAAATCTGTCTGAATCAATGATTAGATGATCAACTGCACCTTCATTTCTTTTCAGGTCCGAACTATCGGTTGGCTGCACGTGAGCTACGCCGGCAGTACAGCTTATCGTGATCGATTGACAAGGTACGAATTCTTGCTGACGTCAGACAGAGAGGACTATGCACTCGCTTGCACGTTGTGGCGCTTTGATGGTTGGCCTTCGGTGGAGCTCGATACGGATGCAGAACTCGGGCTGGCAGATTCGTTACTTGATCTGACCACACACGTGGTCGAGGAGGATGATGTGGACGACGGGGATGATGGAGATGGAGATGATCGGGACGATGTGTGCCACCGATCCACTGGGCCAATAGTGGTTGTTGATAAGTGAGTACGGATTTTTGCAAGACTGTTGCTCAGTATGACGATTGTTTTTTTCAAGCTTTATTTTCCAACTGACGTGGGGTTCCATTGATTTCCATCACGCCGAGGCTGTACCTTAACGTGGCGTAATGTCTTGTGTACCTCCATGATCTTGCGGGTTATACAGGGTGGCTTCTCACAGCCGCAAGTACAGTTTCACCTGAAAGATCGACAGGTAGATCTCGTCCAAAGTTCACTTTCACAGGACCCGCTGATTAGCAACCGCTTGACTCCTTGTATCCCAGGAACGACTCCAGTAAGTGTCTTAGCTTAGCTCTCAGTAGTCGACTGTGTGCTATAAGTCTCAATTGGTTGGTGCCGGACAACTCCAACCGAACGACGTTTCGATGCTTATTATAACTGACTGTTAGCCGATAGATCGCATTGCACCTTGAATGAAGGTTAAATTCTATCATCACCTTCCTCAGTTGCTCTAAAGTGTTTGGTTTACAGATATCGTAACAGTTGCCGAGTTTTTCAGTGCTCATGTACCATTCCTGGTTGAATCAAAAATTTCCGTGTGTGCGATCCCAACCATCAGGACAGATTACGAGATTCGCCTAATTGAGCTTTGCGCTCAGCACGTATTGTTCCTATCCATCATCAACTTCTTCTACAAGAAACAACACCACCTTAGAAACCCAATATCCGTTCATGGTGATGGCCTCATCAACCATTATGCGATCAGTTGCCGCTGGTGGGGATCTATTCAAGACTATCGCTCTTATTGGTTAACGTCTGTGAATGCGGCCCGTGCTCTGTTACGATCCAGATTCTTACGCGTGCTAGACAATTATTAAAAAAAACGCTGGAGACGAAAGACCACAACACGATGTAAGTGACCGTTGCCAAACAGCCTTCGAGACGGAGCGGTCTCGCCGTCTTTCAGTTCAATCACCCTTCAAAGCTATCCCTGAAGCTACTCAAATGTCAGTTGAAACAATGTTGCGTTGCTGGTGCCCGAAGAGCCATTTCTTGTAATGCTGAAGTAGAATATGTGATCCTCCTCCCGCTTTGCACCAGTCTTTCGTGAATAAAAGTTCTTAGTTAGATAAGTTACCTCAATACCTATACGACCTCTGGCTACTATTGTGATGATGAAGACAAATGCTTTTGCTGTGCCCTAAAAAATGATGCTGGTGCATCTACTGATTTTCCTTTTAACTTTATTCTCCCTCGATTCTCTTTTTGCACATTGATACTGCTTCTAGCCTTATAAATCTTTCCTATATCCAGGTAAGTTGCAAGCTTTTCTGGATAGTTTGGGTGCTAGTGTAGCCGTGTTCGGCATGCGCTTTGCACCTTCAAAGTGTAAAATGCTGCTCCAAGATTGGTTTGGTCCAGTCCACAGCCTCACCCTGACCGGGGAAGTAGTAGAGGAAGTAGACATGTTTTGCTGTCTGGACAGCTATATCTCACCTGGCGGACGCATCACAGATGAAGTGTCGGCGCGCATACAAAAGGTTCGGTTGGCATTTGCCAACTTGAGACATCTGTGGCGAAGTCGCGACATCCGGCTATCTGTGAGGGGTCGAATATGTGCTGCAGCAGTTCGGCCGATTCTGCTTTACGGTGCAGAGACTTAGCCGTTACGGGAATAGGATAGAAATAGACTGTCGGTGTTCGAACGCCTCTGTTTACGTATCATTGCGCGAGTCTGGTGGGGAAACCGAACGAGCAATGCTGCGGTTAGGCGTAGAGTTTTAGGTAATCGCGGTCGTCCGCTGGAACAGGTAGTCGACTCCCATAGATTACGCTGTTTGGGACATGTGCAACGCATGTCA